AGTAAATAGTTGTATTGTAGACGTTAAGCGTAAAATAAAATAGCATAATTATGGGCTTTATGGGACTTTGTCATCAAGCGAATCGTAATCCTTTTTGTATAATTTGTTGTGACTTTTACTTTTTTTTATAGGATAGGGTGACAAACGAGATGGTAAGTGGTTTCTGTGGCCCATAGACATCTACATCTATCCTCGTTTGCGAATCAAAATGCAGATGCGTTGTCACCCGTGAGGACTAAGATGGAATGCCTCTTTTCCAGTAATAAGGGTCTCCGGTTCTCTACACTCACCATACGAAACACGACAGTGTTAAGCTGCTATTTGACGCTGGTATTCTGTGAGAGCGTGGCCCTTCCCCGGTTGAGCCGACCCATTCGTGCTACAACTATACTACTGATATAGCTGCAGCATGCCTCTACCACGAAGAAAAATATGTTTTAATATTATATTATAATGGATATAGAAAATGTATATAGAAATAAATATCTAACCAAGTATACAAATGAAAAATAAACACCAAATGCACTCCAACACAATTAAACTGCAATCAAAGCTAACCCCGGCGGGCGCAACGTCGTTTTAAAATTAAATTACTGACTCGGCTTTTGACACGACTCACACAATGTTTATTAGCTTAATACACTTTTTTTTTCTTTTTTTTTTTTGTAGTAGTAGAGCAACGCTGCAACTATAGTTATCGTTGAAGCAGAAATGGGTATTCTAAACCGGGGTAGGACCACGCTCTCACAGAATACCTGCGTAATATAACAGATCAATGCTTCTGTTTCGTATGGTGAGTGTAGAGAACCGGAGACACTTTTTACTGGAAAAAGAGGCATTCCATCTTAGTTCTAGGGCATGACTAGGACTAACATTTAGGAATAACATTTTGATTCATAATTAAGGATAAACGTAGATGTCTATGGGTCACAACATCCTCTTACCATCAGGTGAACTGTATGCTCGTTTGTCAAACGAAGTAGCACAAGTAGTAGATTATTAAGAAATTAAGATGTCGTCTCAGAACCAATTTAAATTCGACGTGTAGTTTCCGCGCTTTGTAAAACCTTCATGACGGTTATCTCACAACTCTTCCAATATGTATTCAGGCATTATAAGGAATTTAATCAGAAAAGTACAAACTGACAGCGCAGTGCCATAGTGACACAAACACAACGATATAATATGGGCGACTAAAAATAGACATTGTGTTACAATTAAACGCATGACAGTTAAATCAAGGTAGATTTAACTATTATGGCGCTCGCTATCGAGCTAGTTTTGTGGCAATTTCTAGTAGGGTTTTGACATATTATAATTCTTCTGTCCGAGTGTATGTGACTTAACTCATCCTAAAGTGCTGGACCGATTTTAATGAAATTTTGTGTGTGTGATTAAATTGATTAGAGAATGGTTTAGATTCACAATTGGACCCGGTAGGTGGCGTCGTTGTCGCGATCCAGAAAGTGCTAGTAATTAATAAATTAGGGGAAGCAGGGGGAATGGCGTTCATCGGGTAATACAGTTCACCCAAATAACTTGATATAAAATACTTGATATAAATTTTATTTACACACACATAATTTTTATTTTATTAACTTGATAAAAATTACTACTAAAAACTTGATATACAAATAACTTTAATACAAACAACTCACGTAGTCTTGGTGTATAACGCATGAGCAAAATTTATGTGCGTGTATTTGTTTGCGACCACGTAGTATCTATCTGTTATTTTTGCCGAATGGTTTTGTCTATAAGTTCAGAATTTTAGTACTAATTTAATGCTTGCATTGTTAATTTACGTACTAAAACATTATATTTAGTGATAACACAAACTATTATAAACATTTGTCACTCTACATTTTCTACCGACTTCAAAAAGAAGACGGTACTCAATTCGACTGAATATTTTTTTATGTGTGTTACCTCATAACTTTTTACTTGGTGAACCGATTTCGATGCTTCTTTTTTTATTTGAAAGCTGGTGCTTCTCATGTGGTCCTACATATATAAATTTGATCAAGGTCTGACCAATAGTTTTTGAGTTATTCTTAACAATTTATATTGAAGTTGTTTGTACAAAATTTTTAATTATAAATTATTCATTTTCAACTCTGATACAAAACGATAGTTTGGGGTTATGCCGCTCAAGTTAAGACCATTACACCTTAGTGATGTTTTATATACTTGTTTAACAGATATGTCCGAAAAACGTCAAAAGACCACTGCTAAAGTGGCTTATAGTGAAGAAGACCTACTACGCACTAAAACTGCAATTGAAAGGGGATGTCCACAAGCCAAGTGTCGAAAATAAATAACATCCATTCACTACGTCAAGGGATAGACAAAGAATAGACTTGCACCGAAAAGAATATTCGGCCACACGCCGTATACCGAATATTCTGCGGACTTCCTGGCCGAATGGCCGAATATTAGGCGAAAGTGTTCGGCCGGGAAGGAAGTAGCGTTTATTGTTCTGAGCGTCCATTCTGGCATTGTCTACGAGAAGAAAAGGAATAAACTACTGCCTTAAAATGAAGACCTCCCCCAAGGAATGCCATAAAGCACGGTCCTGAGCCACCTGTATCCATCGACTTCCCGCATATCTTACCAAGTCGTCGTCATTCCATCTAGTGGGGAAGCCTTTTTTCATTTTTAAATCTATCACGCAGAGAAACATAGCCCTCTCCATAGCTCGGACCTTGAACTCCCTCATACGGCCAAAAGAGAAGGATCACGTCTCAGATCCATAAGTCATCACTGGCAACACGCACTGAATGTACAATCTAGTTTTTGTTTATAGAAAGTAGGTATCTAAGCTTACGGTTAGTGTCTATGATGAAAATTCGCAAGTTTGTTAGTGTCTTGATCAAATCTATAATAAAATATTAACAAAACATCAAAGATGTTTTATAGGACCTATAAACTATCTTTGCAAAACATCTTTCAATTCATAAAATAACTTAAATTGTTATTAGGGGCTTTATAAAGTTGACGATTTTTATTTAACTAAATTAGTTTATAAGCTTAACTATTAATTTAAAAAAAATTGAATTAGATCTAAGAGTTAGAGGCTGAAGGAGAGGGGGTCCTGGCTATCTTACTTGTCTCGTTTCCTTATCAATAATAGCAGTTTACAGTTGACACCTGTCTTAGACTCAAAACTATTAAACTACTAGCGTTCCGCCCTGGCTTCTCACGTGATTCAGATCTAATGTGAACATCCAGGGACCCACTCAAGCACACACAAAAAATTTCCTCAAAATCAGTCGAGCCATTCTCGAGTTTTTGCGAGACTAACGGACAGCGATTGATTTTTATAGGCTTGGGCAAAAAATATCGATATTTATTTTAGAGTTTAAAATGTTGTATCGTTTTTTTCGTCGTCCAACTGTCAGTAAATAAAATTTTGGACCTTATCTTTACATCATGCAATTGATGGCGATATATCGATATTAATCACGCGATATATATCGATACTGTTTAAAAATATAGATTCGATATATATCGATATATTTTTACCCCTTGTCCATCCCTAGATTTTTATATATATGGACATTATGAAGACCCTGCTGCACATCTCCTGGTTCGTTTTCCGATATGATTTGTTTCGTTTTGAGACATGATTTTTTTTTGTACACACGTAGAGAATATCTCAAGAAAAACACAAAATACATAGAGGGGAAAGGGATTAGACCTCAGTGTGTAATGTATTTGTGCATTCAAATAGTTGTATTATAAGTACCTAGAATACCGCTAGTTCGTGACCGGACACACTGTATAGAGACCAGCTGATACCCGCGACTTCGTCCACGTTGCTTACACACATCACTGAATACGTAGTGCTTATAAAAATCGTTATTTCTTAAACCTTTAATAATTATTTTAATTACATGAAGATATCGCAATATTTTTTTACATATGGGCCAAGTGTCTAAGAAATAAAACTTAGAAAACCTAATTGAAATCTATCCAGTAGTTTTTCCGTGATGTGCGCACAACTGCAAACCTCTAGAATTTTATTTATATAAATATATAGATGACATAACTTTCTATGGAGGGGTTATTTTCTAACTACCTTCGTTAAATTCCTAATCCTCTAATCTGGTTAATATTTTTTTTTTCTTAAACTGTACCTACCTAAATAATCTTTAACAACCAGTTACTAAATAGCAATATACCAACAATTAACAAACAGTAACTAAATAATAGTATACCATTTAGTTTATTAGTTTATATATTTAGTTTAGTTTATACGTGGTAGAGCCATGCTGCAGCTATATTTCTGGTATAGTTGTAACACGAATGGGTCGGCTCGACCGGGGAACGACCACGCTCTCACAGAATACCAGCGTAAAATAGCAGGTTAATGCTGTTGTGTTTCGTATGGTGAGTGTAGAGAACCAGAGACCCTTTTTACTGGAAACGAGGCATTCCATCTTAGTCCTCACGGGTGACAACGCATCTGCATTTTGATTCGTAATTGAGGATAAATGTAGATGTCTATGGGCCACAGCAACTACTTACCATCAGGTGGACTGTGTGCTCGTATGTCATCCTTATCCTATAAAAAAAAAATACCAACAACATCTATATTTAAAGCAACAATAAAATAAATTTTAAGCTTATGGAAGTGAAACATATGGAAATATTCCGAAATATAATTTCCTGCGACACCTAACAAAACAACGTAGATATTGAATAAATTATGTAGCGACTGGTGACATTTAATGTATTGTGAATAGTAAATAATTCGAGAAGCAGAATCTCTGGGCCCGCGCCAGTTCTTTGTGCTTGTTACGAGCAAAAGAAAAATATAACAACTTTCTACAGGAAAACACTCGCTGACATCGTAAATTCCTATTTGTTAAGAGGAAAATGAATAACAACAATAAACATTTACTAACACAAAAAGTTTCCGAAGAATTATAACACATTTTGTAACGAAATATATATTTATGACAAACTACATATATTATAAATAAATTATTACTCACGTCTACCAAACAAAGGCGCGTCTTCATTTTTAATGTACACTGAATATTTTTATAACACAACAATATCAGATTCTTATAAAAATTTATTGCAAAACGCAACGCATCTTGAAAAATGCATTTGCAACTTTCGAAGTCTATCGGAATCTAATAAATGCATTCTCGCGCCATCTCCACTGGGTTGATGGCATCCACATTTTTCACTTTTATAACAAAAAAACTCGCACTAACACAGTTTTAAAAACGACGATATTCTTATTATTTTCGGCGTTTTGCCGCACCATGCACAAAAGTTTAATTCAGATCAACACCGAGTTGGCTCTTGGTTGGCAAACTACGGTACACTGCAAAAGCAAAAGTGAATGAATAGTTTAGTATACCACCACTGATGCGTGCGTAGTGCTGCCAGGCGTGTAAGTTTTACCCAAATCTTTGAAGACTTAAAAGTTTAAAAATGAGTTTTTTTTAATGAATTGGTAGCGATACATCAACTGGGTTTTGGTAAAATATACAAACGTCATTTTTTAAATCTGCAATTCCCCTGGTTGTTCATGGGCGGCGGTAGTCACTTACCATCAGGTGAGCCACATGCTCGTTTGCCCCCTCTTCTATAAAAAAAAAACTTCATCTGCAGGCATGTACAACTTATAAGAGTTAAAATGTTTGAAATAATGTTTGACGGCGCAAAATTCACACAATATAATTTCAAACCTAAATCCCACATCCAATCTAACAACACATATCCAGAATAAGAAAAGCAATGTTTCGGCTTTGAGTTCATCAACTACATATTAACTACCTTGCGTGTTGAGTATACTGCTGTTTCGAAAATATCGTTTTTTACAAGGTGATTACAATCAAATGTCAAAAAGCAAAGTAACAGTCTACATACTACTAACGCTTTTGATTGGGACTCACAACAAGGGAAAGGTCCACTGCACTGGTCTTAGGTGTGTTTGCGTACTTCTATAGTCCTCGATGCATAAAAAATATTTAAAATAATATATATATATATATATATATATATATATATATATATATATATATATATATTACTTACAATATGCAAGTTTGCTTAAACAATATTTTTTCACTACCTACTACAAAATAAATCAGCACTTCAAACTACAGTTAGATAACAATTTCATTTTTGCTAACAGGTATCGAACTCAGGTTATTCGTGTAAGAGTCATAAGGCGAACTCTTATCCAGTAAGCTTCCACAGCTTTTTTATATATTTCTATATAATTTGTATAAATTATAAGCTTAACTTAACTTAACTTATAAAATTATAATATAATTACTTTCTTTTAGATTAGGTAAAGTTACGCCATTAAAATACTTCTTCATTAATTTTTATTAATTAATGATTCTTTAAATTCGAAATCCGTTACATATTTTAGTGTGGTTAAAACAAAAAAGTTACTGAATGTTTAACTAATACAATATAATATTCTCTGTCTATCAATAATCGCTTTTAAGTTGGAAAATATTATTTTAATAAGCCATTGGAAATTTAAATATAATACATGGCAACCCACTACGTACGATACAAAACATACGTATAGACCTGTGGTATAGACGCCAAGCCAGCGTGACAGCTTGCTGTATGTTAAAAAGAGATAGGCTTATATGCTTATCACAAAAACATGTGGCAAGTTTGCAATTAGTCTGACAGAGATGGATAATTTCTCTAGTTCAGATTTAATATCCGGTATTACCGTTTAAGAATTTGTATATTTTGTGTATTGAGGTGTAGCGAAGAACTGATAACGCATGGTAGTGGTCAGCAAAGTTGACCTCTTTAGATATCTAAGTTTTAAAACTGGAGTCGTTCGATACAAAATATTACGTTAAAGTTGTATAATAGGCTTTATTTTAAAATATGAAATTTGGGAACAAGACTTCTGTATGCTACTGAGATCCTAAAAAACAAATGCTATCAATGATATTATATAAAAAAGAATATCATTGAATGCTACTTTATACGTAAACTACCCAAACTACACCAAATGGAAGTTAGCATAGAATATTTTTTTTTAATTAAACTGTATGCCAATTAAGTCTTATAGCAAAATAAAAATTTCGAAAATTGAATTATTTAAAAATTAATTATAAATTAACTAATAGTAATAGACGTGGGGCAATCGCGGATTCTGAGAGAACATTTCAGGAGCAATTAATTGGCATGCAGTTTAATTAATAATTATAATTAAAAATTAAAAATTTTGTACAGCCGACTTCAATATAAGTTATTTAAGAATACCTCAAAAACTATTGGTCTGACCTTGATCAAATTCATATGGGACCACACGAGAATTATCAGCTTTCATATAAAAAAAAATCATCGAAATCGGTTCACCCAGTACAAAGTTATGAGGTAACACACATAAAAAAAAACATACAGCCGAATTGAGTACCGTCTCCTTTTTGGAAGTCGACAGAAAATAATAATATTCTGCGCTAATTTCCTTCCGTTTCGGTTCAAACTACCTACGTAATTCCGTAAAAAAAATTATAAGTAATTTTTTTTGTCAAAAATATAACAAAAATTCCAAGTTAAGTAGTATCAGTAACTATGTTTGATACAGTCTCAGACCAACATAATTTACAATTAAAAATTTTGTACAGCCGACTTCAAAATAAGATATTTAAGAATAACTCAAATACTATTGGTCTGACCTTGATAAAATTCATATGGGACCACACGAGAACTATCAGCTTTCATATAAAAAAGAATCATCGAAATCGGTTCACCCAGTACAAAGTTATGAGGTAACACACATAAAAAAACATACAGTCGAATTGAGTACCGTTTCCTTTTTGGAAGTCGGCAGAAAAAGGATAGCCTGAATGGAGCGGTGTGTACACTAAACTTCAAGTACCTAACGTCGGAACCATGCTCTATATCTTGTCACACACCCCCCTTAAAACCCTATAAAATCCACTGCTGTACGCATACTTGCATCTTAAACTTTAAAAACATCTTAGCTTAAAATAATATTATTGGTTGCAAATGATTTGACGCATATATGTGCGTGAGAACACACAATCTCACAATAAGTTGGGCATGGTTTTGGCTTGGTCAGTTTAATTTTTCACCCTTTTGAGTGGAGTAGATAGCAAGATAACAATTTGAATGACGTCTAAATTGTTACACGTCATCCCCTTGGTGGTGGCAATCTCACTCCAAATTACTATGGTACATCCCTAAAATAACCTATTTAATATAAAGGAATCATTTAATTCAGTTTAAAATTGACAAAGATATCGTGTAACAGGCATACAAAAAAAAAAAAGAAAGAAAAACATACAGTCAATTGAGTACCAATTCGGTTAAGAATAGTAGAGTTCGTATTTTCGTATTCGGCGCGCGCTGAAAAAGTAAATTATGACCGAAACTATTAAATAGCAGAAAATAACTGGTTGAACAGAGAACGTCTGAAAAACGAAAATAAAACAAAAACCGGTCCAACTCTACACAACACAAACACATCCATAAGTACATTTTTGGAGACTAATATGTATAGTTAATAGAATAATATACTTTTAACATAATGTTAAAAAGTTATACAATATTAGAATGAACATTTTTTTTAAACTTTTTATGCGCTAAAAATTTATCAAGAACAAGCTTACTTAGGGTTACATCGAATACTTACCAAGACAAGTGATTAATAAGGCATTATTCATAATGTCCAGACAGTTTGAAAAATGCCCGATATGAGTGGACAATATGATAAAAATTATCAAAATGATTAAATTGACCGGACTTTACATATAAAGTCCTGTACTTATTGGACAGAGTAATAAGAAGAGAGGTTTTTGTTTATAGGATAGGGTGACAAACGAGCACACAGTCCACCTGATGGTAAGTGGTTACTGTGGCCCATAGACATCTACATCTATCCTCGTTTGCGAATCAAAACGCAGATGCGTTGTCAGCCGTGAGGACTAAGATAGAATGCCTCTTTTCCAGTAAAATAGCTCTCTGGTTCTCTACACCACTCGCCCGAAACACAGCAGCATTAAGCTGCTATTTTACGCTGGTATTATGTGAGAGCGTGGTCCTTCCCCGGTCGAGCCGACCCATTCGTGCTACAACTATACTATTAATATAGCTGCAGCATGGCTCTACCACGTAAATGGTGGTTCTCATCGCTTAGGGACAATTAATTAATAACTACCTACTTGGACACACTTGGACTAAGATTGAAGTGTAAGGTAGAATGCCTTGTTTCCAGTAAAAAAGATCTCCGATACTCTACTCTCACCATACCATTTTTGGTATAGTAAGAGACAGCAGCACATTATACTGCAATTTTACGCCGGTATTCTGTGAGAACGTGGTCCTTCCCCGGTCCAGGCCACCCATTTGTGCTGGAATTATAATAAAAACTGCACTGCGACTCCACCGTATGCAAAGGTTGACATATAATGCTTTAAATAATAAGAATGTTCCTTGGTTCCTATTCAATATGTACCAGTAAAAAGGGTCTCCGATTCTCTACTCCCACCATACCAAACACAGCAACATTAAGCTGCTATTTTACACCGATATTCTATAAGAATGTGGTCCTTCCCCGGTCGAAGCCACCCATTCGTAGTGCAACCATAATAAAGTTGCAGTGCGACTCTACCGCATGCAAAGGTTAACAAGTAATGCTTTGAACAATAAGAGTGTTCCTTGGTTCCTATACTATATGTACCAGTAAAAAGGGCCTCCGATTCTCTACTCCCACCATATCAAACACAGCAAAATTAAGCTGCTATTCTACGCCGGTATCCTTTAAGAACTTGGTACTTCCCCGGTCGAAGCCACCCATTCGTAGTGCAACCATAATAAAGTTGCAGTGCGACTCCACCTCGTGCAAAGGTTAACAAATATGTAATGCTTTAAACAATTAGTACGACTACGTTCTTTGGTTCCTTTACAATATAAAAGTAAAAAAGTTAAGTTGCAGCCTATTTACGTCCCACTGCTGGGCACAGGCCTCCTCTCATTTCTGAGAGGGCAAGGAAATGTCCGCCGCGCTGCCCCAATACGTGTTGGCGAACTTCACATGTCTTCATTTCATTTTTTTTCTTATTTCTCAGACATGCAGGTTTCCGCACGATGTTTTCCTTCACCGCCGAGCACGTGGTAAATCAACACTTAAAATTGCAATTAACAATTTCATTGGTGCCGGCGGGAATCGAATCCGAGTTACTCGCGTGTTGTGAAATTTACAGCCAGCGCTTAGCCCCTGAGCTACCACGGTTATTACCACGGCATTTTTGACCTAAGGGTTTCCTAATCGAATATAGTTGTAGATACCTATCTATGGGCCACAACATCCACTTACA